TGCTAAGGCTGCTCAGTGGGGAAGAAGTAGGACCAGAGTCAGCTCAGGAGGAGCACAGAAAGGAAAGCAGTGTTATTTGTTCCTCCTCCCCTCACCGTTGAGTGCAAAAACTCAAGTTTTCTTTTCAAGGCATTTGCTTGCATATGACCATCTCTGAAAGCATATGGCATTCAAGACCCAAAGGGTTTTTGACACCTGGACAGATAATGAAGGAGCTGACCTGTGGAGAGCAATAAAAATCTTTTTGCCATCTGTGAAATCAAACCCACTCACAAAGCCAGTCCTGCCAGGGTGGGTCATAGTGTGATCAGAGCCAGGAGACAATTTATAAACCCCAAAGTTCCCAGTGTTACCGACCAACTTGTATTTGGAGCCTGTGGACAGGCTGCAGAAAGCTCAGAGGAGTCGGGAAGCCTGTTTCTGTACAGCAAGGGTTATGAATGGAGTGACTTGCAGGGTGAAAAGTTAACCTTCTTTCTTTTTTCTTGCCAAGTTCGCAGCATTTGTAAGATCTTAGCTATGAAAGCTGTCCGCAACAATCGCCTGGGCTCTGCCCTGTCTTGGAGCATCCGAGCCAAGGATGCAGCCTTTGCCACGCTGGTGTCAGACAGGTGGGTTCAGTCAGTCCCTTTTGGCTTTCTGGGAGCTGTATGGGAAGTTGGGAGGTTGAGGAAGTGGGGCCTGGGACTGCCGCTCTGACCTCTGGGCCTGGCCTTGCAGGTTCCTCAGGGATTACTGTGAGCGAGGCTGCTTTTCCGATCTGGATCTCATTGACAACCTTGGGCCAGCCATGATGCTCAGTGATCGACTGACATTCTTGGGTGAGTCTTTGGGCTCTGTCCCCTGGACCTTCGGCATGGTCGAGATGGGAGGTACTATCTAGACTTCTCCAGTGTTTCCTTCCTGTTAAGCCCAAATTCAAAACCACATAGAACCCTGTGTGCCAGACTCTGCAAAGCATACTTTCTGGTTAACATTTCCCAGTAATTTCAAAATTAAAGAGAAAGGTGCAAAAGTAGTTGCAGGAATAAGGAACTCCCATGTACACTTTATCCAGATTCACCATTTATATTTTGCCTCATTTATTTTATTAGGTTTTTAGGGAACAGTCTGAAAGTAAGTTGGAGACTTTGTTTCCCTTTCCTCATAAATACTTGAGCATGTATTTTCTAAGAACAAGAACATCCTCTCATATAACCAGTTACCAGAATGCACGGCTCTCCTCAGATCTGTAATCTACATTCTATCTACTGTCCCAGCAAGGTCTTTTATCAACTCCACGTTCACAAATTCAGTTGTCCTGTCTCTTTAGTGCCCCTGCCTTTCTTGGTGTTTCTTCACTGTGACATTTTTGAAGAATCTGTTCAGCTCTCTTATAGAACGTTCTCTAGAATCTACGTGAACAGGGAGGGGCAGAGAGAGGGAGAGAGAATCCCAAGCAAGCTCCACACAGCCAGCACAGAGCCTGACTTAGGGCTTGAACTCACAAACTGTGATCTCATGACCTGAGCTGAAATCAAGAGGTGGACATTTGACCCACTGAGCCACCCAGGCACCCAAGACATGTTTGTTTGTTTGTTTGTTTTTAATCCTGTTGTTCTCATTGGTCCAGGACGTTTGGAGTCAGTTCTGAAAGAATCTCTCTGCTTTCACGTGGCTGGTCTGGGGTTTCTCTTGGCTTGTTTAGGGCGAGAGGTGACCTAGTGTTCTCTCTTCACAATAGGAAAGTACCGTGAGTTCCACCGATTTTATGGGGAGAAGCGCTTTTTTGATGCGGCTTCTCTTCTCCTGTCATTGATGACTTCTCAGATTGCTCCACGATGTTTCTGGGTAACACTACTAACAGATGCCCTGCCCCTTTTGGAACAGAAACAGGTACAGTTTTAATCCACAGTGATTTTGTGTTTTACAGTCTTTGACAGAATGCTTCATTCTGTAGCTGTTGCAGATGCACATCCACACATCATCTCCCAAGTAGAGCCCTGTGTGTGGGGCATTCTCTCGTAATGCCCTGTCTGGAAATAAGAATTATCTACAACGAGAAAAGCTACTTAATTTGAAATGAGGCAGCTGTCTACTAACAATACTCAGCCTAGTGCCCTGACGAGAAAGGCTGGGGGTGACAGTACGGGTGCTGTTCTTCCAGGGCTGCATATATGAAGCCTGCCCCTCCAAAGGGTGTGCACGGAAGGCAATCTCTGAACCCGGGCACATGCCCAGATCAGCGCAGGCCTTGGTTGGGAAGCATCTAAGCAAAACAGCTTCTTTTTTCTCTTTTAGGTGATTTTTACAACAGAGCAAACATATGAGCTGATGAGATGTCTGGAGGACTTGGCCTCAGGAAGGCCAGTGCGGGGAGAGCCTGGTGCTCAGCGACTCCAGGTCATTTTAGCTTTTGGGTTGTTGATTCTGTAATGGCGAGAAGAAAAGGCTCCCTCTATCTTGGACTCCCCTACTTCCCTCCTGAAACGCTGGCCCCTTACAAACTTGTGCTTCTTGGTTTAGCTCTTAACCTGTAATTGACACACCAGCTTGTTTTAGGAGAAAGTGGGGTGATCCTAGTGTTCTGGTCTCTACTTGTCTGTTGGTCAGTCGCAGAGGTTCTTTGCATGCAGTTCCCTCAGATAAACCACTTGCTAGAAGCTATTAAGGGTTAAATGCCTTGGTCTGCCTCCGGGTCACATAGAACCTTGCAGAACTTTAAAGAAGGAACACTTCCTGCCATACCTTATGCTGGCCTTCTTTGCTTTTTAGGAGGACATAGAGAACACCAAGCTGGAAATGCTGAGACTTGCTCTTGCGCGAAATCTTGCCCGGGCCATTATAAAAGAAGGCTCACTGGAAGGCTCCTGAGGCTAGCCAAGAGCTGCTGTAGCCTGGCATCTTTGTATGACAATGTATATAAATTTTTGAAAGAATAAAAACATTTTTTTCCCCCTCAGATAGAAGGCAAATTCTTAAAAGTTCAGCTAGGGGCTTTTTCCTACCTCTGCTGTGAACTTAAGGTGTTAGAAAGTACGCGTTCTGTTCTCCTTGGCATGGAACTTTTTTCCTGGTCTCCCAAAAGAAAAAGCCACTCCTGGAAGTTATGATGGTCAGTGCAGTGCCCTCTTCCTATTTGAAAGTCAAACGAGAGCAGTCAGTGGTTTACTTAGGCTTCTGAAATTGAGCCTCATTTTAGAATCAACTGGAACGTTGTTAATTGTTCTGTCCTTTAAAAAAAGGAAAAGGTCCAGGAACCTGTACTTTCATCAACAAAACCTCAGGTGATGCCAGCAGATGTGTCTACATTTGGAATTCATAAATGGTACTCTGTCCACTGTGGGGTGAATGGGTATTAGGATTCCAGCTACGGCAAAAATGATTTTATTTGACATGCAGCAGAACAAGGGCAGCAGAGCTGGGATATTGTATACAGCCATTTGTCACAAAGCAGTGACCTCAGTAGTAACACTCAATTTTAATGTCTAAAGCTTATTATAAAGGTGTATTTTCACACAGTAATCCCATAAACCTTCCCAGGGCTGCTAGCAGCTGGCTTTTGGAAAGCTCTTGGATTTACTCTGTATGTTGTGAATGGATTCACTTTTGACCTGTTCTAATAATCAAGCAGTGAATTCTGCTTGCGGAAGCTGGAAAGGAAGCGGGAGAGGACCTTCTGATACAGTAAGGAAACCTGGCAAAGTGCAGGGAGGGATCAGGGATTGTGGCATGTGCCACCTTTCCCCAGAGATGGCTTGGAGCCATCCAGCTAAGCCCAGATGAGCTGAGTGCTCTTTCCTCAGCTGATGGTTGTCCCTTTCTTGCCCTGTGAGGCCTGGAGTCCCTGGCCCACTTGCATCTGGTAGGAGCAACTCGGACAAGCGGTCGGAGGTTGAGCACTGCCGAAGCAATAGGGTCTGGTGACTCGATTCAAGCACGGCTCCTAATCTCACCACCTCCAGACCCCGTATCTTGCGGACATGCCCCTCAGCAGCTGGGGACAGTCAAGGTTCCTAGGCAACAGGTAAGAAGTCTAGTGCAATATGCCTGACCCTGAGGCTGCCTGTTCCCAAATACATGCCATACCACAGGCCAAATGGTGGGAAGAGGGGGAAGCCTAAGCAGGAGAATGCAGAGGATGATGGGAGTTGTCCTCTCCTTCAGAGACTCAAAGGGCAGGAGAGTTTATTTCATGCCAAGCAAGAGGTAGTGAGTAGGATGGCCTATTCCCAAGGCAGGAGGCACACTTTTCCCAGAAAGCTTTGAGTACCTGCTTCCAGAGAAGGGGAGACACTGGTTCTCTTCCATTTTCTTTTGTATCCCTAGTTTTGGCTGCCACAAGGCCAAGTTCTGTTTCTAATAGGCTGAGTTTCATATCCCACTGCGACGTCCATAGGACACAGCCGGCAACCACCAGAGACGAGCACACAACTCCTCACCCAGCGGCCATTCCAGAATGCTGCTGCCCATGGAAGGCAGGGCTGGGGACTCGGTAGTACGTCAACTTCTCTATGCCCAGGGCCACTTGGGACCACTGGGCTTTGCCTACCTCCCAAGAGGAGCCTGCCAGCAGGGGAAGCACAAAGTAGTGATGAGGGGGCTGAGGCCTCTGGGGGGGTGTGAGAACACGGTCCTTGAGGGAGGGTGCCAAGTCTCTTTAGAGCCCTCCCCCCTTATGGCATCAGGATGCCAGCATGGGAGGAAAAAACCTACTCCCCTGCCTTGGGTCCTCGTTCCCAGGGCGATAGTGCAGAGTCTGGAGCCACTCCCCACCCCTGACAGCACATGGCCACTTCAAGTCACACAGGTAGACAAAAAACCAGGTCCTTTTAGGGGGCCAATGAGAGATCATCACGGCAGCAGCTTGGCTCCCAGCAGCAATGCCCAGGGCCCCTGTTCCGCATCAAAGCTCTAAGCACTGCAGTCAGGATGTGGAGAATGACTGGACCAGAGAGCCCTCCTGTCTTGTGGCAGCCTGCCTGAGCTTCAATGCGGAGGTGACACGGAGTCCTCTGGGGTCATAGGTTACCCCACTGTTCCACAGGAGGGAATTGGTCCACCTCGCCCACCTCTGTGCTCAGCTGCTCTCCCAGGGCGAAGGTCAGCCTATACCGAAGCCTCGCTTTCTCCTGTGACAAAGGGGCAAGCGTGTGAGACCTCCTCTTCTCCTCAAACCTTGGGGCCCTTTCTGTGCTCCCATCACCACCCCAGGCTCACTCGGCCACTGAACTAGGGTAGGGAAGGGACACGGTTAACGCTGCGGTATCATGGCACTTCAAACTGGGAGGCAGAGGTCCTAATCTGGGGCAGCTAGGGCTTCAGGACGGACCTTGGTTCTAGCTCACCTTCAGCGGATTGGCCAGCAGCATGACCTGGGTGATGGCTGCAGGCGGCTGGATGGGACTAAATGGAGACAGCTCTGTCCCAGAGGGTGGCTGTAACTTCACCTTCATTGACTGAAGAAAAAGAGAAGCTCCTTTGAAGAGAGATGGCAGGTGCCCCTAGGAGGGAGCCTACCGGAGTCACAATGGACACATGGCTGCTGCCTGCTGGCCTCAGGGCCCCTCAACCCAGTGGGTTCAAGATAAGGCTACTTCTGCCTCTAGAGGCCCCAGGAAGCCAGGGGTACCTTTGGCACTGCGGCCTGCAGCACGATGCTCTTGATGGGCAAGGGAGCTGTGTTCAGCATGGACACTACCACCACCAGCACGTCAGGCCGTCCAGGCGGACACTCCTTGGCAAAGTGGAAGAGGATGCGGAAGCCATTTTTATCATAGGCTGTCACAGGAAGGGCGCTGCCTGTGAGGAGAGATCATGTGGGTGAAGGAGAAACCTCACAGAGCCCAGAGGGTGTTGGCCACAGCCAAGTGGGCAGGACCGGGCAACCCTGTGGCCAGCAGGCTCCTTGCAAGAATCTGGGAAAGAGCCTCTCAGAACCTCCCAAGAGTCCAGTGGCAACAAGGAGAGACCCAAGACAGCAGGGAAGCGGGTCATGTCTGGCTCTAAGGGACCTGGGCAGACAGCCTGTGCCCACCCCTCATTCCCTATGACCCCACAGCCTGGGTCCCACATCCCCTCCTGCCCCATGCTTCTGACACTTACTAGGCTTGATAGATTCCAGGGGAACATGGACACTGGCCAGGGAGAGCTCTGGCCCCTTCATGGGGCTGCCCTGGGGCTGGAAGAGAGGACTGCTGGGCCCAGGGGAGAAGGGGAGGAGAGGCCGAGCAGTGGTGCTGGTGGGGACCAGAGGGGAGGTGGTGGCCCCAGGGAAGAAGATGGAGGAGACGGGTTTCACCAGACCTGAAGTCCTGAGAGGCAGGAAGGAGGACAAGGCAAGTCAGAGACCTGGGGAAGCTATAGCGCCAACCCCTCAAAGCACCTCTCCCCTTCCCGCCAGGCAGAGCGGTTCTTACTACCCCACCTCCCACCGTTTCCAGATTCCCACCTGACTCAGTAGGCCAAAAGGGCACATCCCCAGACCCTCTGGAGCTGCCCCTGGTTCTGCCAAACCCAGGTCCAGCCCTCCCCAACCCAGCTCTCCCCCACTCATTACGCTCTGGTCTCTTCAAGAAGATGATCAAGGGCATCCAGCTGGTGCAGGGTGCTATCGCCCAAAGCCGAGCCGTGGTACCCAAGGGCTGTGGGCTCAGCCTTGAGGGCTGGGGCCGGTCCAGTTGGGAACAAGAAGGAGCCTGGTTTGGGGGCGGGAACACTGGCTGGGACCGCAGGAGCTGGGAAGGAGGGCGGCAGTGGAGCCTGGGAGCTGCCCGCGGACGGTGCTGAGGGCGGGACGAGAGGCCCATCCGAGGGGCTGGCGGCAGCACTCCCGGGCTCGGGGCCGCCAAAGTCCAGGTCCAGCTGCTCCTTCTGTTAGGGATGGAAAGTGCGTGAGCAAAGGCTGTGGAGGGGTCTGCCGCAGGTGGCAGGTTTCGGGTCTCCAACTCTGGCCCCCTTCCCTGGGGGCCCTGTGACCCCACCACTGGACGAGCAGCTTCCTGAGGCCAAGGCCAGCCCTTGGATGTGATCCACGTTCCTAAATGCACGCAGGGCAGTGCCCCAAGGAGTAAGGACAGTCGCCGCAGTTGGCTGCAGCCAACTGGGGCTGAGGATGAGTTGGGAAAGAGAAGTGAAGCTCGTCGAGCATTTTAGTGATGTCCCCTATGTCCCTACCTGGAACAGGGGCCATTGGCTGTTTCCAGCTGACTCTGTGGGAGGGGCAGTGGGGGCTGGATCAGCAAGGCCTGAAAACAGAAGATGATGGTGAGAAGGGGCTCTGCCTTGGGCAGTCCCACCTCACCCAGGGAAGGTCACATGACAAAATGAGCATCAAGGGGTGACAGGCGGGGAGGTTTTCCCCCAGGCAGCCTCCAGGGGGAGAGGGATCCTCTTCAGTCCTTATGTTCCGTATGTGGTGGGGGGTGGGGGGCGCAGAGGTGGGGAGCAGAGCAGGACAGTCCACTGCGTCCATGCTGAAGCCTGGGTGCAGACTGCCCTGAAGGCCACTGAACTGCACTCTATCCCTCCACCTGAAGCCCCCTTCTCCACCTCTGCTAAGTACACAGCCACCCCCCAGCCCTCCTCCCGATTCCACACGCCTTTTTGCTCTGCTGGCCCCTCCAGGACACACCCAAGCAGAGCAGCTCCTCGTCCAGCAGGCAGAGGGCATTGCTTGTGCTGTTGGGTCCCAGGGCGGCCTCGGCATGACTGGATGGGTGGCTGCGCCCAGGGCCTGAGGTCTGGGGGGGTGGAGGGAGGATAGGGATGCCGGAGGACGGTGGGGCAGGGGCCGGGGCCGACACTGAGGATGAGCTGCTTGGTGTGTCCAACTCAGCAAGGTCGATGAGAGTGCCTTGGTCCCTGGAGTGGTCTCCTGGATGGGCGAATGGAGGGGGACGGGACTGATTAGGGGCCACTCTAGTGGCTGCACAGAAGGAAGCAGAACCCTGAGCGCGGCCTCCAGCCTGGGCAACACTGAAAAGAAGCAAGCAAAGAAAACCCTGTCCACAGCTCCTGGCCTCTGGGAAGCTGGAGGACCACTTGGAGTGGCTCAGAATCCCCTTGGGCCCTGCAGGATGGCTTGTGGGTCAAGCGCTCAGGGCTCATGGCTCGGTGGCAGGGCCCACGGCTGGTCTGGATGGCTCGGTGGTGGGGCCCGGGGCTGGTCTGGACGGGTCCAGAATGGAGAACTGGAACACTTTACCTTCAGAGTCTGGAATGGCTGAGGTGGCTACCTCACCATTGACCACCTGCCCTTCAACGACTGTTTTGTAAGAGCTGATGACCCGGGAGAGGTTGTCACTGGCCTGGAGGATGTCCCCTAGAGCAGAAAAGAGGTACTTCTCACTCCAGGCCATGACACTCCCCCACTCCACGCCTCCGGGCCAAACCCACATTCCTGGGTCATCCTTGCCAACTACTCTTGAACTCACCCAAACTATTGTCATTGTCCTCTGTCTCACTGGCTAGTTTGAATAATGTCCGCCTCTTATTCTCACACCGATCAAACAGCTCCTGAAAGAGTCCCAGACCTAAAAATGAGAGCTACAAAGTCCCTTGGAAATCCTCCGGTGCGGTGTTCACGTCCAGGCGCTCAGGGGGCTCCTCTAGTGCCATGGTCAGTTACCGGCAGAACTGGGCTCAGAGCACACATCTTCCTGCTCCCAGCTGTCACCACGGTGGATCACCCGAAAGGTCTGCTTAGGACCAGTGGGAGTGTGTCCCTTCCTGTCCCCGAGGTGAGCACATGCCTCAGAATTCAGAGCATCTATGTGACCAAGGACTAAGGTGCAGCAGCGTCAGGGGCACAGGGTGGGTCTCTCTACCCAAATGTCCCTGAGGCAGAGAGAAGTGAGCCCTGATGGTAGGTCCGCGGGGTCACACAGACTCGGGTGTACACACGGCTCTTCGAGCCTGAGTTAGCCACAGCTCGTGTAAAATGGGGGTGTCACTGCTCCCACTGCCACCCGGCTGCCGTGCTGATTAATGAGGAATGGCAGGTACTGAGCAAAGGCTGGCCCCCGTTCCCAGAGCCCAGCCCCCCGGAGACGCGCCTACCTTCATGAGCTCTTTATCTGCCTCTGAAGAATCCTCTTTGCTGTAATGAAGCAGCATCTCATTGAGCAGCTTTACGTTGTTATTAACCTCCTCTAAAGTGTGCAGACGCTTGGTCACCTTCTGGATCCGTGCCTCGTCCTGTATCGAAGATGATCAAGGAGAAAAAGCTAACTAGACTCATCCCACGGCCCCTGATGCCCCACAGCAAGGACTGCACCAGAGGACACGCGCAGAGGCCAGTCCCAGTGGAAGCTCCTTTTCATGCACGGTTCTTGGGAAACACAAGTCCCAGTCCTGACGCACTTTTTCTTTTAAAATAACAGCCCGCCCTACCCCCCAGGCTGGCCCCATCCAGGTTTGCTCCTCTAGTCCATTCTCCCCCCAGAAGCTCCAGCGCGCCTCCCGCTCTCTGGCCTCTCCAGATGAGGGCTGGGGGCAAGGGCAAGCAGCAGGCCTCACACCAGGGGAAGGGACTATTGTTCTGTGGTCAAGAGTTCCTCCGCCCCAAGGCCCAGGGCCCACTCACTTCCTTCACCATGGACTTGATGAGCTTGTTGGCCTCTTGTAGGTCATCTGGGTTTTTGCTTTTCAACAACTTGGCTAAAAGCTGGAAGAGGAGGTACCGAAGGTAAAGGGAAAGGTAACACCCCACCTGGGAGACCGCAGAGGAACCGGTGCCCCCATGGCACTGAGTGAGCCCACGCCTCATCTGAGGACGCTATCGGCCGGGATGCACTTTACCTTGGATTTCTCCTCATCATCAAAAACAGGGTTTTTGGGACGAGGTGGTGGAGAGGGGATCAGTGTCCTGTCCACGGGGATCAGTGGGTCAGACTGCACTATGCCTGAAAGGGAACATAAGGGGGCGGAGTGTCTGCTCAGGCTGGGGTCACCTTGTGGCCGTTCCTCACACAACGAGGGCGGGCATAGCCCTGTGACCAGGACCTGCAAGGGGTGAGGACCATCTCAACCTATCAAACCGCAGCTGAGCCCTTCCCAGGATCTTCCCTTCAGGAGGGGATGGCAGACACCCCCTCATTCTTCCTGGCCTTAACCAGCCTCTGGGGCTGCTCGGAGGCCAAGGGAAGGTAAGCACATACCCTGTCTCTTCAACATGTGATAAGCATCCTTGATCTTTGTTTCTTCTGGCAGGGCCAATGTCCAGCTGTAAAGCAGCTCGATCACCTTGGTCTTCACTTTCTCAGACACCCTGTCCCCCAGGTACTAAGAGGCAAAAGGAAATTAGGGAAAAACCTCGTAACTGGTGTCAGAGGCAGAGACCATGGGAAAGCTCTCTTCACGGCAATGAAAGGTGGCTGGTTAGCCCCAGTCTTCAGGCCTGTCCCAGAGCGGCAGGTGTCCGGTGTGTGTGACATAGAAGGACACCACCGTGGCAGAGCAGGATCTATCAGGGCTACAGTCTGTGCTCAGACAGGGAGTTTCCATGCACAATCTCCCAGAAACAATGGCAACTTATCTCAGGGGAATTAATGAGAATGTCTGAAGTATGAAAAATTGCTCCCTGTGCTTTAAGTGGTGCCTAGAGCTGAAGCAACACCAGCGAGCAACAGAAGCTGAGCGGCTGAGTGATGAGAAGAGTAACTCCTTAGACCTACGGAAGACGGACCAAAGAAAA